CAACATTAAGAATTCTGATCAAGCTTGTTTCTATTGGTCTGTGGTATGTGGCCTTTTTCCTACCTCTAACAATAAGCAGCTAACATCATCATACCCAAATTATAGGGCTGTTTTGAATATGCAAAATCTACCTATCCCAATGCCCCTCAATCAAATTCAAAATTTTGAAAAGTTAAATAATATTTCGATTAACGTTTACGGTTTGGAACTGAATGTGACCAATAATAAACAATTTTATACAGTAGCACCAGTTAGATTAACAAAACAAAAACTAGATAAACACGTCAATTTGCTGATTGTTCAAAACAAATATTATCCAAAAGTAGACGATTATGATTTTGAACAACCAGCAGAGCTACAAGATGAGGAAATCAAGTATCATTATTGCTATATTAGCAACTTGTCTCGACTTGTATACTCACAGCTCAGTAAACATAAAACTAAGAAATTTATTTGTGATAGGTGTTTGAATTATTTTGCATCTGAACAGCGCCTAATTGAACATGAAAATTTGTGCTCCAGATTAAATGATTACAAGATTACTTTCCCCAAATATGAACACGTTGAATTTCGAAATTTTACTTACAAACAACACACACCTTTTGTCATCTATGCTGATTTCGAAAGCATACTTCAAAATTTAAACAACAGTAAAATTTCGGAAAAAACTCGTAAATATCAGAAACATGTTCCATTTAGTGCTGGATACTACCTCAAATGTGGGTATGATGATTCCCTATCCTATTTCAAAAGTTATCGAGGTGTAGACTGCATGCAATGGTTTGTTGAACAAGTGTCTCAAATGTCTAAATTTATTTATTCAAAATTCAAACATATTGTACCTCTTATTGCTAGTGAAACTATTAGCTTGTCCAATGTGTCGTCGACACATTGTCATATTTGTGAGAAACCTTTCACAAACAGCGATAAGATTGTTCGTGATCATGATCATTTTACGGGGAAATTCCGTAATTTTGCGCACCAATCCTGCAATCTAAACTATCGTAAGCATTTTATAGTTCCAGTAGTTTTCCATAATCTCTCCGGCTACGATATTCATTTCGTAATCCGAGAGCTTGCTAAGCATGGTCACGTGAGCGTCCTACCCGTGAACAAAGAAAAATACATTTCGATCACCTACAGGGAACCTAATAATGGGCTGCGTTTCAGATTCATTGATTCACTAAGATTTTTGGGTGCCTCTTTGGATGAACTTGTCTCCACGTTGAACAAAAAGGACTTGCTGATATTGAAAAAAGAATTTTCAGACTTGGAGCCGTCAAAATTTCAACTATTAACTCAGAAAGGTGTCTTTTGTTATGATTATATTAATGATTTTTCAGTATTAAACGAAACTTCTCTACCTTCTATCGATAAATTCTACAACAAGTTAAATGATGAAGATTTAAGCGATGAAAAGTTCGCTCAAAATGTCTGGCATTTGTTCAAAATTCAAAATTTAGGTGAATATTCGGATCTCTATTTGAAAACTGATATTTTACTTTTGGCCGATGTTTTTGAAAATTTTCGCAAAAACTGTATAGCTACACACAAACTAGATCCAGCGTGGTATCACAGCATGCCTGGTTATACTTGGGACAGCATGCTCCAATTTACGAAATGTCGTTTAGATATTCTTCGGGACATTGATCAGATAATGTTTGTGGAGCAGGGAATTCGTGGAGGCATTTCCGTATGCGTGAATCGTTATGCTGAGGCCAATAACAAATATATGGATACATATGATGAGTCAAAAGAATCAAGGTATTTGCTCTATCTCGACATGAATAATTTATATGGAAAAGCAATGACCGAGCCCCTACCCTACGGTGGTTTTGAGTGGGTGGACGGAGACGACGACGACCTTAAAAATTTTGATGTTATGGCAGTGGAAGACGATTCTCCAGAGGGCTACATCCTGGAAGTTGATTTGGAATATCCTAGACACTTACATGATTTACATAAAGATTTACCATTCGCGGCAGAACATCGTAAGCCGCCAAATTCAAAGTTACCGAAATTAATGACCACGCTGTATGACAAGAAAAACTATGTTATACATTATCGAAATTTAAAACAGGCACTGAAACATGGCTTAGTTCTGAAGAAAATTCGCAAGATTTTAAAATTTAAGCAGTCAATGTGGCTCAAGCCCTATATCGAGCATAACAATAACTTACGTAAACAGAGTAAGAATGACTTTGACAAAAATCTTTTTAAATTGTTCAATAACGCGGTGTTCGGAAAGACTATGGAAAACATACGAAATCATAGGATTGTGAAATTTGTAAAGACGTGGGAAGGGCGGTATGGTGCAAAAAATTTAATATCTAGTCCAAGATTTCATAGCAGAACCATTTTAGATGATGATTTATTGTTGGTTGAATTGAAAAAAGCCGAACTATTTTTCAACAAACCATTGTATGTAGGCATGTCGATTTTAGATATTTCGAAAATATTCATGTATTCATTTCACTACGACTACATGTTGTCCAAATTAGATTCAGAAAAATGTCACATTCAATATATGGACACCGACAGCTTCATATATGACATCGAAACCGATGATGTATATGAAGAAGTCATCAAAGCCGACTTGTCTAAATTCGATACCTCAGACTACCCTCCAGATAACCCATATAACATACCGCAGGTCAATAAAAAGGTTTTAGGTTTAATGAAAGATGAACTGAATGGTGATATTATGACTCACCAAGTAGGCCTTAGATCCAAAATGTACAGCTTCAAGACCCTTAAGGGAAAAGTTGTGAAAAAATCGAAAGGCGTCAAAAAAAATATAGTCAAGTATAAAATTGCATTTGACGATTATGTAGATTGTTTGAAAAATTTCAAAGAAAGTACCGTAATGCAGAGAACCATCCAGTCTTTTCAACATAATGTGTTCAGCATTGAACAATCAAAAATTGCACTAAGTCCAGCTGACGATAAACGTTTCTTAGTGCCCAATTCCTTCAATACTCTTCCCTGGGGGCATTATAGTCTTGATGTTGGTGACGAATTAAAAACATTGTAATGTTGAGCATCAATATGTTTTCTCTCTTTCTCTCTCTTTCTAACGTGTATATGTATGTACTTAGTCAATTAATTTATAAGGTCAATATTAATAATTGTTTGTATATTTGGAATAATGTATCATTTTATCTATCTCTCTCTCTCTCTTACTCGTATTATGTATATATTATGTTAATTAATCAATTAGGTCACTAATAATAATTGTATATTTGAAATAATGTATCGTTCTATCTCTTTCTCCCTAACTTGTATTATGTATATATTATGCCAACTAATCAATAAGGTCACTAATAATTGTATATTTGAAATAATGTATTATCTATCTCTCTTTAACTCATATTATGTATATATTATATCAATTGATCAATAAGGTCACTGATAATTGTATCTATTTTAATAATCTATAATTTTTTAATAAACAGTTCAATATTTATTGTATTTGATTTTTATTTCCCCGACAGCATCCTGTTATACGACACAAAAAACTTGACACTATGTACTCTAAATGACTCCACGGATGTGACCCAGGTCGCTATTACGTCATCACAGAACCCGAACCCTGAATCGAACTTTGCACTATGTACTCTAAATAGCGCCACGGACGTGACCCAGGTCGCTATGACGTCATCACAGAACCCGAACCCTAATTAAATATACGTAGCGATTTCGAAACGACTCGGAACAATCCCTTCCACGCACACTCCATATTACAGGAACCTGTAATTGCAAGAATTCACCGCAATAACCCGGTATGACGTCATCACAGGTGACAGATGACGTTTGACAGGTGACGTTTGACAGATGACGTTTGACAGGTGACGGTTGACAAAATGGCGGGAAAACATTTCCCCCCACCCCTTTTTCTGGTACCCATATTAAAATCCGGGGGCCCCTTTTTGGGGGGCGCAGCCCTGTGGGCCCCCTTTTGGGGGGCGGAGCCCTACGGGTCCCAACTACAGCATCCTGTATTACGAGCTTCACACTATGTACGCTAGATGGCGCCATGACGTTTGACAAGATGGCGCCGACGATGCATCCACCTTCGTGTCAACGGCGGCGCATCCACCACGTGTCAAGAATGAAAGATTGAGGTTATGGTCGGATTTTTATGCTTGAATCCCCTTTGACTATCTACTAACTCTTTTGGATATGGAGAGGCCGAGGTCAACCTCGGTCCTACAAACTGTGAATCTCTCTCGCATTCTCGATCTTTTATTGATTCCAAAGACGCTGTATCTAATAGGTAGGTATTTCGATTACAATAATTATTTCAATACACTTTTCACATCGAAAAATGGATAACGCCTACCGTGGAAAGCGCTCCTTTCCTGATGGTATCAAAAAGAGTTTACGTCAGAATATAACGGAGAAAGTGATAATCTTGTTTTGTCGACACCGAGAAAGTTTTTTTTATGCCATGAATTCTATGGTCACCTCTTGGCCTATGATCTAATTAAGTACATAGAAACAAACAATATACAGGAAACATGTAACTAAAGGGTTAAGTAAGGTAGAATTTAACATGCCAATAATACATATAATTACCTCATAATTGCATGATGCTTTTCAATTAATAATATTAAATGACGGTTTACCAATTCCTGATTGGCAGTTTCTGGTAATTTGTGCACGTGATCTATTAACATTATGAATTGGGCTTCCAGGAGATTTAGCAGACAGAAATAAAAAAACTTGAAGGCCATCATTAGCAGTACAGCAAGACCAGTGAAAATCATCATTACATAAAAGCTTGGTTCAACCATTATCGGCAAGATTTTATCTAGGACAAATTAATTAAACTGACGGGAGATAGTAATTTTGTATTTATTCTTTGATTTTTTTGCACTAAAACTTCCATTTTTAGGCGTCACCCGCCCTTTAAACCGTCTATAGGATTATTGATAGTTATTCAGAAATCAGAACCCTTGAAGTTCCTATCTAAATAATATAATGAAATCGTGTCAAACCTATAACAACGAAGAGAGCCACAGCATCATACAGATTTGGTTTAATGGACAACAAAAATAATTCTGCCACTATAACTTGACTGCAATTACTTATGAACCATATGTCTCCCCATTTCATTTTTTCCAAAATTTCAGATTTAGAAGTATATGGAATGGAATTTAGATCCCAAGGTAGCTTAATCATTTCTGAGATGGTCAATTGCATTTTGGGCACAGCGTATAATATAACCAGGGTCATAGTTAAGAACTGCAAACGATTCAATTAGAAAAGTAGTTTTTGAAAAACAACTTTTAATTTCAATTATTCTAGGTACATACTTACATATAAACATATTAGCAAATTTGGTGCATATTTCATAAAAGCAGAATCTTTGAGGCAAAATACAGTTTGAATTGCAATAAGAATACTGTTACCAAGTACGACAGCTTTGATTGTATATTTCACATATCTTTGTTGCAATAGGCTCAGAAATCGGAATAAAAAAGTGTTGAAAACTGGAAGGAAATTATATTAGTAGTATCGACAATTTGTAATGCAAATAAGTACAAATTATTTTGACAAAAAAAGATGATATACATACCACTTTCCTTTTGATTCTCTTCCATTGTTAGATCAGTTTGCTAATTTCTATGCTTTCGGTTGGTGAGCGTATTGTAGTTTTTACTCATTCGAGTTTAGTTTAACTTTTTAATGCATGCGTCGATTTATTCAAAAATTAGATTCTCATTAGCCTTATTGAGAAACTTTTCTTCTGATATTATTGATTTTCAATGCTAATTAAAGTTTCAACTAAGTTTCTAATATTCAATGATTAATATATGGTTGTTGGTAGATTAGCGGATATAATTGAAGTACTTACTAAGTATTATTTTTTGAGAAATTGGTTATAATTGGATACTAAAAAAAGAGTCATGGTACCTACTGAATACTGAATAAGGCTGGTGTAATTGCAGAAAGGGTTACAACCTACTCTATTCAAAATATCAGAACAAGAAAAAAATAGTTATTTGTGTACCAAGGCCGTAAAGTTGATCTTTTTTGGCCGAATCAGAAATTTGCGGCCAAAGATAGGTAGATACACAATTATTTATAACAAAAACTACGATAAAGAGAGTGTGATTATAGAAATTTGCCGCCTTTTTCGCCTGGTATCTTACATTGAGCTTCTTTAAAAAAGCAATCAATTTTGAAAACTTGCTGATATTGATATGTTAGGTATTTCCGACTATAATTGTAAATTTTAATATAGAGTATAACATGGGTAAACCTGAAGACCATAACGTTGAGGATTATTTAATTTTGGCATTTTCCGAAAAAAATGCAAGAAAATACTTCTCCCAAACTTTTAATCATGCCGTTTTTTTTAGCATTTTATGTAGAAATTTGGATAGAGCTAAAATTAAAAACTTGGTTTCATTGTGGTTGCTAAGTAATTGTTTATTGGTTGTGTTGATGGTTACGGCACTGCGTTTCCGATTGTTTGTTTATTTTCACCAAAGTAGCGGCCGTAAAGTAAAAGCGGCCGTGAAGTAAAAGCGGCCGTAAAGTAATAAAGCAAATGCGGCCGTGAAGTAAATGCGGCCGTAAAGTAAATGCGGCCAAAAAAGATATACTTTAGGGATGATATTGAATCCGTAAAACTAATCTTTTTGTGACAGTCGCCTAAAAAAAGTATTATATGTTATCAAAATCCTAATTACCAGTATCAAAACACTTAATTCATTAGCACCATCAAGATTTCTGATTATCTTCTATCCTAATCCTATTATCGTCGATTGTGCGTTTTCTGATGGGTAAATGTGGATCTATATGAAATAACTCTGGAGCCACACTCTCTTCCACAGTCTTGGTACACCCAGCCTCTGGCAGCATTTTCTTTCCCTCTGTTCTCTCGCTCGTTCCTGCGGTCCCTTTTTGCGGTCCCGTGTCTGCGTCGCTCCTATTCATATAATAGGACAAGAACTATTGTGATGCTGTCCCAGTTACTCTTGTTGACGATGTTACCTTATCTATATACAGTGCGGCCGTAAAGTAAGGAATAATAGGGCCAGATTTAGGCACAGGCAACCGAGGCAAACGCCTAGGGCGTCACGATTAGGGGCGCCAAATTACAAACAAATTTATTTCGAGTGAATAAGTTAAAAAGAAAATGTTTTATACCACAAAGATAATAGGGAGATAATAAAAGATCCAACAACATTGTCCGGTAATAGTGTCTATGGTTATCACTGTCACCAATCATAAAGGCATTTTCGATCATCTTGTCTCAAAACAGATTGAACAAACTTTCGCTCTAAAAATTGAAAATGTTATAACCTTCGACCATTGAAGACACTCGATGGTTATAACATGTCTGATGGTGTAGATTATAGGTCTGTTCTCCCAGAAATCGCAAACCAGTGAGAGCGTTTTTGATTGGTGCAAATCGCCAACAACCAGTTTTATGACTATTTTCAACCAATGAAATTCCTACTGACTGGTGTATGATTTCTGTGAGAACAAACTTATCAACGAACTCATCTCTGACTTTGCAAGACGGGTTCATTTTTAGTGTTGATAATTTAATTAGTTTCGAAATAGTATATTGTGTATTAAGGTGGAAAAGTGACACATTCTCGGCCGACGGTGTAAGTTGACGGGCGAGGCGAAGCCGAGGCCGGCAAACAGCGAAGGCCGAGAATGTGCTTTTCCACCGAAATACACATACTATTTTTTCTGCGATCGGTTAAATACCTGTTAAATGTTTGTCTTTTGGTTCCAAATATTCAGCAGTACGAGAAACCTTTTTCCCGGCCTAGGCCGGAAAAGTGTTTTCTGTATTGTTATTAATTGATTTCTTAGCAACTATTGAAACATAATTGAAATACCAGAATATTGAGTTTTGCGACCTGTAAACCAGTCAAAAATGCTGACATTTCTTGTCAATCGCAGAAAAAAATATTTTTGCGTTTAGTTAATTTGAAAAATACATATGTATATCCCAACAAACGCAAACTGGCTGGTCCGACAACGGGACGAAACGTCTCCCGACTCGACGTGTAGGTAGGGCATGTCCGCCAGGCCGTAAGGGGGCTGAAAGTCAGCTAGCCAACCATTTAGCCGCGGCAAAACTTAGAATAACCGACGACGGGCCGATGGTAGATAGCCGGGTAGAGGCACGGCAGGCCATCCGTATGGCTCGCATGCGGCTATCCTCTTATAAACCGCCATTATTATCTGCCAGAAGAAGGCGCAGGCGCCCCGAAATATTTCAGTATTTCAGATTCAGAATTTTTTCCTCTATGACAAACTTTTCTATCAAGCTAAAGAAATAAAAATTGTATACAATAATTTATGAATAAAATTAATATTTCTAGCTTAAATAGTCGCACAATGAAAACTAGCAATATCCCAATCTCGAAATACATAAAAATTGGAATTATACAGGGTTATTGGTAATTCGATACATATTCCTTTGAAGAACAGGTAAACACAACACAGCAAGCTTTGGAAGCAAAACACAAAAATCATCAATAAATTGATAATCAGTATCACTTCCACGGCAGACAATCAATCAATCAATCAATCAAAATATACTTTATTGTCGGAAAAATAAATTTCATTGACAAAGCATGATCTTAAATAATGTGCAAGTAATTAAAAATTATCGGGTTATAAAAAAACAAAAAGAGGTACAATCAATAAAATAAAAAATAAACATAAACATAAATGTCAAAGCATAATCCTAAGCAACACATGTACAATTTTTACTACATCAAACTATAGAGTCATATAGAAGGTACAGCCAATACAGAAAAAACATAAAGGTTGCGGTCAGAACAAAACAAAACAATGAAACAAACAAAATTAAAATTTTTCATTTAAAAATTCATTAATATGATAGTAGGCTTTTCCATGTAAAAATGTTTTGAGCTCTAGTCTAAACTTTTTAAAACCACCTATCTGCCTTAAGTTAACAGGCAGATGATTAAAAATTTGCCTACTTTTATAAATTAGTGAATTTTGCGCCAATGCAGTCTTGGGTATAGGAAGCTGAATTTTAAGAAGTTGCCTAGTTGGATAAGTTCTTGGATATTCTAACTCATCATAATGTTTTTTGTGCATAAGGCAAGCAGTTTCCATGATAAATATACAGCATACTGTAAGTATTTTATGTTTTAAAAATAGTGGCTTGCAATGCTCCGAATATCCAACCTTACACAAATAGCGCACTGCTCTCTTTTGAATGACAAAAACAGAATCAAACAATTTATTAGAACAGTTACCCCAAAATGCAATGCCATACCTGATATGAGATTCAACCAACGAGAAATAAACCAACTTAGCAGTATTCAAACCAAGTTCATTTGACGCTATTCTTACAGCATAGCAACCACTTGCCAATCGTTTGTTTAGATTTGTAACGTGCTCATTAAACTTAAGTTGAGTATCAACATGAACACCAAGAAATTTACAGCTAGTTTTATTTTCAATTGTGTGTGTGTCTAATAATAAATCATCAAAAAAAAATTTAAATGTCAATATGTTGGTTTTCTTAGAGTTAAAACAAAGCAAGTTAGAGTCACACCAGCTCTTTACAAGATTTAGGTCTTCAGAAATAATCTTTTTCAACTCTTCAATATTTTTTCCGTTCCAGGACAGAGTAATGTCATCAGCGAATGATGTTATTTTAGCTCTAATGGGGAGGTGATTAATATCATTTAAATAAAGTAAAAACAATATTGGTCCCAACACAGATCCTTGTGGGACACCATTGGTCACAGCCAAGTTTGATGACTGAGTATCACCAATCTTAACAAATTGTTCTCTTCCCGAGAAATAAGATTCAAACCATGAGTATGAGATTCCTCCGAAGCCATAAATTTCTAGTTTTTTAAGCATTATTTTATGATTTACGCAATCAAAGGCTTTAGAGAAATCACAAAACACAACGGAGACAAGCTCACTTTCATTAAGACTGACGAATACCTGTTCCAAAAGATTAAATATTGCATCATGGGTGCCCTTTAATGGTTGGAATCCAAATTGAGTGTCACTTATTATGTTGTGTTTTGAAAAATATTTCAACATTCTTTCTTTAACTAACTTTTCAACTATTTTTGACAACGTCGAGAGAAGTGATATTGGTCGATAATTACATGGGTTGTCCAAATCGCCACCCTTATAAACAGGCAACACAATAGCTTTTTTCAGGCAGTCTGGAAATACTCCTGTTAAAAATGAAATATTAATACATTCAGACAAGACATATAATGCATTATCAGGCAAGTTTCTAAGCAAATTTAATGAAACATTATCGTGCCCACTGGATTTATTGTTTTTTATTCCTCTAAAGATTTCATTAAGTTCTAATACGTTTGTAGTTTCCAGTACAAATGAGTCATTTATTTTAACATCCAATAAATAAGAACCAGGATCCACATTACTTTTCAAGTTTTGTTGTAAAGTATCAGCAACACTACAGTAGAAGTTGTTGAGAATATGGGGATCTAATTTAACATCTGTTTGAAGAACTGAGTTTTTACCAGTTAACTGATTAATTATTTTCCAGTTTTCTTTGCTGGCATTTTTGGAGGAGTTTATTCTATTCTGATAAAACTTTTCT